CATGTGCAAGAAAGACAGAAAGCAAGAAATCACCCCCAGGGGCGATGGCCACGCTGCAATCCCTTCTCCTCCATTCTCCTCCCGGGATCTTGGTCATGCACACACGCACGCCTGGCATGAGTTTAAGCCACCGGGTCTGGGACTCGAACCACAGTCAACTACATGGGAGCCCAGAGACATAGCCATTACGCCAACTGCTGGTCCTCTTTATGAGTTTTTGGTTTTACTATGTAGTTACCTTGCTTGTTTTAATGTGGAGATTCAGGAAGATTTAAAAAAACTTTCCACTGCCACTGCCACCTTCCCAAAATGAAAAATTAACTCTTCTTCATCTTCTTTTCTTTTTTTTTTTCTTTTTTAGCTATAGGGCACATATGCTTGCCAGAGAGACAAGAGAGACAGAAAGTGAGAAATTACCCCCTGCTCTGGGGGAATGGCCATGCCACCATCCCTTCTCCTCCGTTCTCTTCTCGAGATTTTGGGCACACACGCACACACAACTCATGTGAGTTTTGAGCCACTGGGTCCAGGACTCGAACCACAGTTGACTATATGAGAGTCCAGCAATGTAACCATTATCCAATCTGCTAGTCCCGAACAATTAACTCTTAAATCATATTTAAGAATGTGAAGTTTCTAAAATATATTGTTTCTTTAATAAATCTCTATCAAAGAAAGGAAATTCCTTTGTTCTTTTTTTTTTCTGTTTTCTTTTTTTAATTTGATATAGGACGTCTGTACTCGCCAGAGAGAGAAGAGGGTATGGGGGGAAAAAAAAGCACCAGCCAAGGCGGGTGGCCACACTATAATCTCTTCTCCATTCTCTTCTTGGGATTTTTGGGCAAGCACATGCATGCACCTGGCATGTTTTTTAAGCAGCCAAGTCTGGGACTTGAACCATGCTGCTGGCCATCTGGGATCCAGCTACCTATACCACCACACCATAGGCTGGCCCACTTGAATTCTTCAGAGTTGTCTTTCTCTTCCTTTCTCTTTTTTATGGTGTTCAAAAATATAGTGACTTACTCTCTGTACTCTGTGTCCCTTCTCTACCTTTATGTGAGCCTTTTATTATATATAAACAATAAACTTTTAATTTTTATCCTCTCCCCTGACCTTCCATCTTTCCTTCCTTCCTGTCTTTTTTTTTTTTTCTTTTTTTTGGAGAGGTTTTTGCTATAGGGCACGTGTGCTCACCAGAAAGAGAGAGACAGAGAGACAGAAAGCGAGAAATCACCTCCCAGCAGGGATGGCCATGCTGCAGTCCCTTCTCTTCCATTCTCTTCTTGGGATCTTGGGCATGCACATACACGCACCCGGCATAAATTTAAGCCACCGGGTCTGGGACTTGAACTGTGGTCGACTACATGGGAGTCCAGCGACATAGCCATTACGCTAACTGCTGGTTCCACTTTCCTTCCTGTCTTAAAAGACAATAAAAACTAATAAAGGTCTGTCTGTGCCCTCCAAGCATTGACTTATATCCAAGAGGAATTGCAGTAGATGGTGTCTGATATCCCTTATATTTCTTACTCTCATCACTTTGCTGCACACTGCCCAATTTCCAATGCTTGGCACCTGTTACTTTGCCTATAAGTGTTTCCTGACCACCAGAGCCAGAGCAACCTCCTGAACTGCTAATCCTCCTCTTGGGATCAATCAGTCTTCAGTTAATGATGAATAAGAGATGTGTGCAGTAGATAGAATAATGGCCCACCTAAAGAAATCTATAACCTAATGCCCCAAACCTGAATATGTTGCCTTACATGGCAAAAGGTATTTTGGAGATATGGTTAAGTGATGATCTTGAAGTGGAAGACTGTCCTGCATTATCCACATGGTCTTAATCTGACCACTGGGATCCTCGTAAGTGGAAGAGAGTCACCGAGAAATTTGAAGATGCTGGGTGATTGCCTTTGAGGCTGGAGGTGTGCTGTGGAAGTGGAAAAGGCAAGGACACGCATTTCCTTGTCGAGCCTCTGGATGCAGCCCCATCGTCACCTCGATTTTAGCCAGTGTGTACCAATGTAGACCTCTGACCTCCAAAACTGTGATGATAAGCGTGTGTTATTTTAAGCCACCCCATTTGTGGAAGCTTGTTACAAGGGCACTAGAAAGCAATTACGATAGATAAATGACGCTTGCTCAACCCTCGCGTGAGATGATGGGGGCATGTGCTCAATGTTGACTCTCCATTCCGGAGGTGGGGATTAAGTGCCTAATTCATAGTGATACTCTAGTGCTAGGAGGAAAACCTATTATTAGCTCTCTTCCCTTTCCTGTCTGAATGTTTCACCCCCAGCCCCACAGTATTCCCATTAGTGTGTTGGGAACACCACCATATAAACTACTGCACTTGAGCCCATGAATTAAAGTTTGCTTTTGAAAAAAAAAAATCCAAAAAAGAATTTGAGATGGCTTTGTTACTTGCTCAAATTCTTCACATTTGATTGAAGGAAAAGAGAGAGAGATGCATTATACGTCTTCACAAGTTCCAAGGTGCAATGGTGCAGGGCCCTTGGGAACTGGGGTGGAAGCCTACAACTCAGGTGGTCAGAAGACATAGTCTCGGGACCAGCAGGTGGCGCGGTGGTTAAGGCACTGGACATTCCCACATGGCTGACCATGGTTCGAGTCCTCGACCTGATAGCTTGCTTGGTTCTCACTTTTCCTCTTTCTCTCACTCTCTGTGTATCTCTCTGGTCAAATCAAAATAAAATGGATTAATAAATAAAAGTAAATAAATAATTCTTTTTAAAAAATCTATAAAAAAAAGAAGACATAATCTCTGCCTTTATTACAAAGCTTTCTTCTTTACAAAGAAAAAGTGTGTGTGTGTGTGTGTGTGTGTGTGTGTGTGTATGGGGGGTGATATTTATTCAGGCCTTAGAATAAGGTTCTGTGGAGTCCAGAGCTCTGTTTTGTTGACTCCCCAGAAATGAATCTTTAAGAGCCACACCACTGCCACCTGGAACTATGAATCTGAGGAGGGAGTTTGAGGCAGCTACGTTCAATTGACTCACTTTTCACCAGGGTTTCTCAGCCTTGCACCATTGATATCTTGGTCTGAATACTTCTTTGTTGTGAGGTTTGTGCTATACATGGGGGGATATTCAGCTGTACCTCTGGCCTCTACTTCTGAGGTGCCGATATCACCTCTACTCCAGATGCAATAATCAAAAATATCTCCTGACATTACCAATGTTCCTGTGGGACAAAGTCAGCACTGTTTCAGATCTGTCCTCTGTAGACCTCCAACTCTTCTTCCAAGTCTTGTGGAAACCTGGAGGCAGGCAAGTTAAAGACCATAATCCCCAGACTCTCTTGCAGTTACGATTCTTTAAGTGACAACCTTCGAAGACACGCCTGGGTAAGACTTAGAACACGGAAGCGAACAGTGTGAGGCTGTGGTGACATGATGTTTCTGACAAGCGCTGTCATAAATATGTTTGGATTTTGTAAACCAGTAGTAATGAAGGCCTAGTCTCGGCCTTCTCAGGTACTGAGCACAGAGGCAGTAACATGATGTTTGCTAAAGCCACCCTGCTGGACAGTGGGGCAATTTCCTTTGCTCTATTAGTTCCTTTACGTAGCGGCCAAGTCCGTCTCCTAACACTTCAAGAAAATTAGAGCGACTCCTTTTCTGATTAAACTAGCTATAAATGATTCTGTTATATGAAATATAGTCATTTTTATTAGGCCCAGGTACAGAGAACATCACAACGTAAATCATGGCTTTGATTTCATGACGAAAGTAGGGAGAAAGAAACAGGAGTTTAGAGGTTTCGGACTGAAAGGCTGATGAACCTTGTTATATGTCAAGGATCATTGGATGGCAGGATCCATACTAATGAAACATGTAACAACAGCCAAACTGTTAGGACACATTCAAAATGTTAGCAGGTGCAGGCTGATTCTTACTGTTTTCAGCCAAGTCCTGAAAGATACAGATCAATTTCAAGCGAAAGACAGAAGGAAAGAAGGAAACAGCACTTGACTAAGAGAGGCCTTAGAGCTGTGGCTTGTCATCTAGGCAGACTGAGCCTTCAGTAAGTTGGAACCTGGCAAAGTGAAAAAATTCAACTGTGGTATTTACCCAGATGAATTGAAAACTTAACGTCCACACCAAAACCTACACACACTGAAAATAGTCATATTGGTGTTTTTGTCCTTAGGTAAAGTATGTTTTTACCCATAGGTAAAGTATGCTTTTTACGTATGGAGCAACAGAAAAGCCTAGAAAAGAAATTCAAAAGCTTATGTTGCTGTCTTAGTCTGTGTTGTTATAACAACATAGCTTAAACTAGGTAGTTAACAAAAGATGGAGATTTATTTCTTACAATTCTGGAGGCTGGGAAATCCAAGATCAAAGTGCCAATAGATTCTCTGCCTGGGGAGGGCTGCTCTTTGTTGTAAGATGGCTTCTTTTTGCTACCTCCTCACGTGGCAGAAGGGAGTAGAAAGGGATGAATACTATTCTCATGTGGCAAGAGATGGAAGACTCTCTCTAAAGCCTCTTTTATAAAAGTATTAATTCCATTCACACGGGCAGAGTCCTCATGACTCAATCACCTCCCAAAGTCCCACCTGTTAATACAATTACCTTGGGGGTTAAGTTTCAACGTATGAGTTTGGGGAGGACACTAAAAATTAAATCGGAGCAATTATTTTTTACCAAAATGAACCAAATATTACCCAGTTAGGATAGTTGACTGTCATACAATAATTTGAACTCTAAATACTGTATTCTTGCATGTATTATGTTTTATTATTACAAATAACACTTTGCTCAATAATAAAAGATTGTCTAAGGATTTTTTTATAGAAAGAGATTTTTTTCTACAGGATACATGTGCTTGCCAGAAAGAGAGACACAAAGTGAGAAATCACCCCCTGGGGAGGTGGCCAGGCTGCAATCCCTTTTCCTCCATTCTCCTTTTGGGATTTTGGGCGTGTACACATATGTGCTTGGCGTGAGTTTTAAGCCACCAGGTTCAGGACTTGAACTGCAGTCGACTATGTGGGAGTCCAGCGAGGTAACATTATGTCATCTGCTGATCCTGCCTGAGGATTTTTTAACACTATCAAGGGACTGTTGGGAGCATATTACTACCTTTTAGTTCCTAGGTCATAGAACTATGAGAAGCTACATCCGAGTCTGATGGAGAGGGTGGGTGTCCTCCACATATTCTTGTCTTTGGAAGAGCCAACGAGGTAAGATTTTTGTATTGTTTCTTCTGGAGAGGGAAGCATGTTCTTCAGAAAGAAGAAAGTGCGTTGGGACCAGCAGTTGGCGTAATGGCTATGTCACTGGACTCCCAAGTAGTCGACTGCGATTCGAGTCCCAGCCCAGTGTGGCTTAAATTTGTGCTGGGCACGTGTGCATGTGTGCCTAAGATCCTGAGAGGAGAATGGAGGAGAGGGATTGTGGCATGGCCAGCCCCCCCAGGGGGTGTTTTCTCCCTTTCCGTCTCTCTGTCTGTCTCTGTCTTTCTGGCAAGTGTAGTTCTGCGGGAGAAAAAACCTCCCCAAAAAAAAAAAAAAAAAAAAAGAAGAAAGTGCATGGAGATTTGCGGGGGAGGAGCAGAGTTGTGGTGTGCATAAAGACTGCATTGACTCCTTTTTTGGTAACAGAACCTAGACGTTTAATTCAGTCTTTTTCCAGACTACATAGAGGACTTTGTTTCCAAGCTTTCCTTGCAGTGAGGGGTAGCTTGTGATTAAGTCTTTGTCAGTGAGTTATAAGAATTTGGTATTGGATTGCCAGAAAGTATGCTTACAGGTGTTCATCATCGCTGAGGGCTTTCCCTTTTGCTCTTCTGCCTCTCTTTTCCGGCTGACCACACAGACATGATAGTTGGAGCTGCAGTCATCTCCCTTGGACCATGAAACAACCTGGAGGACAGATGGCCAGAGTTAAGATGGTGAAGCAGAAAGACAGAGACAGGATTACAAAGAATGAGAAGCCACGGTATCAGCCCTATAATACCTGACTCTAAATTTCTTTTGCATGTGAAAAAAGTCACTTTCTACAGGAGATGCTCCAGAAGTTCATAGAAAATGTGTATTCTGAAAAACACTATGTATGCATTTGAAATTTTGCACCAAAATAAACTTGTACTTGATTTGCATTTTTCTACAAATTTTTTGACATCCCCTTGTATTTTTTTAAAGAATTATTTTTATTTAATTGTATTAATTGTCATTGTTTTAGTTTTTGAAGTTGACCAGAGAGAGACACAGAGAGAGGGCAAGTGAGAAAGCAAGCTGCCAGGTTCGGAACTCAGACTGTGGTTAGCCACATGGGAGTCCAGCTGCCTTAACCACCACACCATCTGCCAGCCCCATCCTTGTATTTTTTTAAGCCATCACTATTTTAGGTTGTTCCAATGTGTACAGCTGAACTTGATAAAAATCCATACAGAATTCAAGTGATATAAGTACTCCTACAAAACTACTCTCACCTGTAATCACTTTTCCAAGAGAGGGCTTAGGATGTGCTGACTGGTAGGTATCCTTCCTACTGAGCAGGTACATTGAGCTTCACAGGGGCTAACTAGACCCAGGACTTCATAGCTTCTTATGGTCTAGCCTCCTCTACACCATTTCTAAAAGAAATGTCACAATAGTTCTATATGGATACAAGTTTCCTTTTATAACATTATAGAAAATTGACGGGGCATTGCATATTTACTGGGAATTGGGGTGATAGAAAGCAAAAAAAAAAAAAAAAAAAAGTACTCACCACATTACTCTTGCCACTGTAACAAATTATTATAGATTCACTGGCTGAAAACAATAAAAAGGTATGCTCCTGTAGTTGTAGAGATCAGAAGTGGAAAATGTATGGTAAAACTCCTGAAAGGAAGGGATGGTACTGTAGACATCCTCCCGTGGGGTGCTTTCTCATTCTCCCCCAAATGCTGCCGTCATCTTTGTGTCTTTCTGGCAAGCACACACACCCCATAACAAAAATTTTTTTTTAAAGCATTACCTTTTTAAAAATAGGAAATCAACCACTAAGATTCTAATGTTTTTCTAGACAGTTAATTGTGCATGAAAAAAAATGTTACAAATGGTAAAAGACCTCCAAATCTGTCCATTTTCATTAACACAAAAATGCAAAACAAATGGAATATTTTACTTTTACAATTGCTATGCTCACAAGAGTATAGGAGGTGGTAGAGGTACAACTTCACACATTTGGTAATTGTAGCTTACCTTTAGGAATATATATTGGTCTTTTTCAGTGCTAGGTATAAAGAATGTTAAAAAGATCATCCTTTTTTTTTTTTTTTGAGACGTTTCCGCTATAGGGTGTGTGCACTCGCCAGAAAGACAGAGAGATAGAAAGCGAGAAATCACCCCCCAGAGGGGATGGCCACAATCCCTTCTCCTCCATTCTCCTCTTGTGATGCTGGGCACGCACGCACACATGCCTGGCATGAGTTTAAGCCGCTGGGTCCGGGACTTGAACCGTGGTTGATTACATGGGAGTCCAGCGACATAGCCATTACGCTAACTGCTGGTCCCTAAAAATACCATCTTCAACCCAGTAATTCCACTTTTGGAAAATAATCCAAAATGCATCCAAATTATTCATCTTTATGTAAAACTTGGAAAAACCTGAATGTCCTACAGTGGGAAAATGGCTCAATGCGTTGTACTGTAATTATAGGATGAAGTATTATCCAGCTATTTTAGTATCTCATATATTGCTTGAGCATGTGTTTTCTAAATCACTTGGAGAAATGTCTGTGATAAGAGCAGGAGGGCATCCTGCAAGGAAGCTGAGCAGACAGCTAAGACTTTGCTTAGAGTCAGGAAGACAGGCTTCCTTCAGATCTAGGCTTCTGCTTCTGTTCAGCTGTGTTGGATAATTTAGATATGTAGTTATCTGGGATTATTGATAGCAACTTCAAACAGTATCAAAGGAATAAACGGGGCTGAAATTTAATTAATTTGCATTGGGTTGTCTCCACATGTTAAAATATAAAATATTGGGAACCAGCAATTAGCGTAATGGCTATGTCGCTGGACTCCCACGTAGTCGACCGCGGTTCGCGTCCTGGACCCGGTGGCTTAAAACTCACGCCGGGCTTGTGTGCGTGCGTGCCCAAGATCCCAAGAGGAGAATGGAGGAGAAGGGATTGCGGCATGACCATCCCCGCGGGGGGTGATTTCTTGCTTTCTGTCTCTATGTCTCTCTCTGTCTGGCAAGCGCGTGCACCCTATATATATAAAATATTACACTTCTGGTCTGGCTAGTGAGTGGCAAATTATTGCTACCCCCACCCCTCAAGTCTTCTTGCTTCCTTGGCCTCCTGGGTCCCTTCCTCAGGGCCCCACATACTACATTTCCACATTATTATGCAGCTAAAATGACTGATACAATTGAGGCCTCCAGGAAGCTGCTCTGCAGCGTTCCTCTGATCTGACTGGTGCCTGGACTACCAGTTAATACATATTAACCACTATCTGTTTATTTCTTCCCCCTTCTCACACACATGTCCACATGCATGTATTTTTTTCTTTTCAAGACAAACTTCTCCGAAACTCTTTAATCGTACTCCAAAATGCTAAGTCGGTTTTGTTTTGCTTTGAATTATTGTCTATTTCACTTGCATGTTCCTTTTCTCTCTATAAAGCCATATAAACAAAAAGGGGATTTCACTGCAAAGACAGAAGTGAGTGGAACATGAGTGGTATCTGAAAAAGCCTTTCACTTTATTTGATCCAATTCCAACCGTGCTCTTCATTACCTTCACTTTTATGGTTAAGAGAACATAAACTTTCATGTTTCTGCCTGTTTTTCTGCTACTTAGCTCACCATAGTTTCTCTCCAATTGACTAATATAATCCTATTATTTCTACTGACTAGCTTTAATGCTTTCTTACCTATCAAATAGAACGTCCTTTAAAAAATATTATCCATTGAATACAGATGAAAAGAAAACAAAATAAAAAACTATATATTTAATAATGTCATAATGATCCAAAGTAATTACATTAGACCAGGTTCTCCAAAAAGCATATGCATCGGATGTGAGAGGATTTGATTAGGGGAAATTCCTGTGAGAAAAAAACGAGTAAGTAGGAGACCTGGGAGAGCTCTCTGAGGACAACGTGAGTGAGCTTGATCCTGAGTGGAGGAGAGCTGGAAGTCCGCTGGGTGGGAACAGCCTAGAATGTTGTGCGCTCAAGGCTCTCAGCATCCTCAAGCCAAGGTCAAGCATCAGACGACCTTGTGTCTCTCAGAAATGGGCCTGCCTTGGTATTTCTGTGGTTCTGTCATTGGCTAAGAAGCATGGCCTCAACAAAAACAGTGTGCTGAATTTGACTGCAAAAACTGGAGCTCTTGGTTAATTACAGCCCCTACAATTGGAGGTCTCAGAAATGTGCCACCCTTCTTTCCACATAACCCCTCTAGTCCTCCTGAAATGGTAAGTTCATGGTTTTAGCCCCTGAGATCTTGCGAAGAGCTGAAGCTATACACACATCAAAGCATATAAACAGCTGAAAAAATAAAAGTAAAATAATCTGCAAAGCAATGATACATTCATAATTTGGTTTCATAGGGAAAGCAATGAGATGAATGCACAACGACACAGAACTAGAAGCACTTGCAAATATAGTTCACACAGATGCTTAGGTTGTAAGAGAAGCCAACTCTCTTTATGCCTGTGTTTCAAAAATACAAATAAACAAGACATAGAAACTCTTTTTTTTTTTTTTTTGAGAGAGAGAGAAATTTTTCTGTAGGGAGTGGGCACTTGCCAGAGAGACAGAAAGCAAGAAATCACCTTCCCCCAACCTCCCGCAAGGGAGGGATGGCTATACCATGATCCCTTCTCTTCCAGTCTCCCCTCAGGATTTTGGGAAAGCATGGGCATGCCCCTGTGTGAGTTTCAAATCACTAAGCCCAAGACTCAAACTCTGGTCAACCATGTGAGAGACCAGCAATGTAACCACTGTGCCATCTGCTGGCCACAACATAGAAACTCTTAAATTGTTTACACATGCAGGAAGAATGAAAGGGAAATGAACTTATCAGGATCCTAGATTTGTGCCAAGTACTTTGGTAGTGGTTTCATATATATTAACTTGAAATACACAATACTATTTATGTCCTTTTTTTAGAGAGATTTTTGCAATAGGGTATGTGCACTCACTGGAAAGACAGAAACAGAGACAGAAAACAAGAAATCACCCCCAGGGGAGATGGCCATGCCACAATCCTCCTCCAATCTCCTCTAGGGATTTTGGGCACACATATGCACCTGACATGAGTTTGAAGCTGCCAGCTCTGGGGCTCAAACCATGGTCAAACATGTGGGAATTCAGCGAAGTAACCATTATGCCATCTGCTGGTCCCAACTATTTACATCTTTTTAACAAATACTCATAGCAACCTTCCTGGTAGGTATTACTTTTCCTGCTTTGCAGATGAAGTAATGGGACTCAAAGAGGTTAAATAACTTGCTTAAGGTCTTGCTACTGGTGAATGATAGAACCAAAATACATAAGTCTGCCGATAGGGTAGTGTGCAGAAAAGGGCCTTCTCAAGAGTTCTCTGTATACACATTTTATTATTACGAGGAACCCTTCCCCTCAATGTCTTTAGTTCTTCTAACTTTTGCAACCAAGGCTTTCACACTATTTTTGGGGGGTTAGCCCTAACTACCTTACAGTATTGGACCAAATATTTTACTACTAAGGGACATCTTAAGGAGCAAAGGGGAAGGGACTCAGTATCAGAGGAGCACCGTTGCCTGGCCCAGGCATAGTCCCATGCCTGTGATTCTTCTCAGTAGCCCAGGACACTACTAGTAAGTAGTGCCAGCCTTCGTTACCTGTCTAGGCACTTGTTTTACTGTGGTTGCATGTCTGCTTTGACCACTTCCAGTCCTGCCAAAGATTAGATCCCATCCTTAAAGGATAGTCCCGTTGGTCAGGACCTTTGACTAATTTCCTATTCTCT